TTATTTGCTGGATTTCAGGTGGTAGTAATGGGCCATTCTGTGTGGTAAGGAGACAACATTTGAAGGTGGAATGAGAGAACTGCAATAGCCTGGTGGCCAGGAAAATTCAAAGCTGGACAGGTGATTATTGAATTTTGTTTATGTATTACCTTTTGTTTCAAGAGTGTATAATTTGGTTTACCAAATTAATGAAAAAAATATTGGATGGCGACAGTTGCTGTAATCGATTTTTTTGATTGGAAATAGTTGTAAATGTAATATAAAGTATGGCAAAAATCATAAAATTCTGTATGTAATTTGTCGGCTGTTTTAAAGGTAATATGTTGTACCAATGTTGATGTGTGTGTGTGTGTGTTAAGTCTTGTTGCATTGATATTTCAAGAGTCACTGGCTGGATTGGAATCAAACACTATAGACAGCTACATTATAATGAACACAAGATCTTGTTACATTTTGGTACAATTCCATGCAAGTTAATTACTAGGTAATATGTAATTAATCAGTTTTAGCATTTTGTTTGCACGAATGCATGGAAACTTGGTACATGTTTGCTGTTTGTGAGGATCATTATCTGATAGCAATTAATGTGTGCATAATAATAGGCTAATTTGCATACTAGTTTGTTTTCAACAGCTGTATCATAACAGCAGCTTACTCCAATGGGAAACTTGGTACTTGCATGATAAAAGTTCTAATTAATCTGCTTACTTAATTTACATTACTATTTTTATTTTGTTACCTTGTCTGTATCATTCTAGAAGAAGGTTAAGATATATGAAGGAAAATGTCTTGTTGTTGTTGCTGTTTGTTGTTGACTAAGTTTTATCCAATTTTGTTCAAACTTAGATATTATATTAACCACTGTGAGCCCTTGGCCAATTTTAGTTATAGTCTGTGTTCTATGTATATTTTCCAGGAAATTGGTTAAATTTTACTCTCAAATTTTTATTTTGTCGTTACTATAACTCAAACAAAAATTTTTATCTGAGCATCTTCAAATTTAGGCTTCTTATTAATCATTATGAAATGTCAACCAAGGTCAATTTTGGCGTAACTAGCAAGTTCAATTTTCAAGATATTTGTTGAAATTTGGCAGAAATTTGTTTGATGTAGTAATAAGGGGACAGATTAACTGAATAAACTGAATATAGTCTTCCCGCTATTTTCAATTCCTGCTAGTATTTTATTTTGCTTAATATATTACTGCATTATTATTCTGGAGCTTTTATTACAATTCATGTTATAATATTCTATAATAAACATTGAGATTAATAATTTAAAAGTACATGTAGGAGCACTGCTAGTATTTTCTTGCAAAATGTTGCTTAGATATGTTGCTGTACTATTAATATTTAAGAGCTATTATACAATTCATGTTATATTATTCTATATGGAACATTGTGATTAATATAGTTCATGTTTTAATCGATGAATTTGGTTAATATTTTTCTTGGAAAATTGTGTTGAGACATGTTACCATTGTTAGGAATTTGTATACAGATTAATAAAGTATATGTAGTATTATTTGATCAACATGTATAGTATATCATTTTTTTGCAATTATGATTTTTTTTGTAAAATATTTCATATCTAAATGTTAGTCACTTAGTTTTCATGCAAAATGTTTAGATATATTATTGCATTGTTTCATGACTTTTATACTCACTTTTGGTATACAAAAAAAGTATTGTGCATTTTTAGATTGTATCCATCCATTCATTTGTTCCATAATCTTTATTCTTAATGGACAAGATTGTAATAGTTATGTTTTTATTGGTATCAGTTTAATCAAATGAAATGAAACCGCAATGTACATGCAATTTGTTTGTGTTGATTAATATTGATTATCAATTGAATATGCTTAACTTATTTGATCATTGGGAAACATACATGGAACATGCAGTCATGCAGAAATATAATAATATCAGCTTTGACTTCCTATTTAAACTTGTAGTTTGTGAAACTATTGAAGATTTTTGACCATATATCACATAATTCCACACAGGTGAGCCATCAGCTGGGAACTATAATGGATTTATTCACCACTGCTTTGGACATAGCAGGTGTGACACTACCAACTGATCGTATCATTGATGGTACTTCACTACTGCCAGCCCTTGTTAATGGGAAAATTGATAGCAACAAGACCATTTTCTTCTATCGTGGTGATGAACTGATGGCAGCAAGACATGGTCTCTATAAAGCTCACTTCTGGACATGGACAAACTCGGAAGAAGAATTTAAGCGGGTAATAGAATTTATAATCAATTAAACTGTGGTTCAGAGTACCTGGAATCATGTTGTATGCACATATGTATGGTGTGTATTGAGTTCCTAGAATCATGTTGAATACAAATGAATGGTGTACATTGAGTTCCCAGAATCATACTAAGTTTTTAGCTTTGATGTTGACTTTGTCGAGCGGAGCTTATCATATGAGTGATTGTCCGTCGTCGTCCGTGTAATTGTTTTACTTTTTAGTCCCAGTTCGGACGCAGTCAGAAAACGGGGGCTCATGTTTTGACCTCCATGCGTTCGTCCATGTGTCCGTCCGTGCGTGCGTCTGTGCGTGCGTCCGGACCTGTATCTTAGAAATGCCTGGACCAATCACAATCAAACTTCACACATGCATCATACATGATATTATACATATGCACGTCAATTTGTTTCACGATCTGATTCAAGATGGCCAAATGGCGGCCATTTTTGTGCTAAAAATCATCAAAATCAAAAAATTTTCAGCTGTTTACAGATGAATTTTGTTCAAACCTTGTATATACGTTGGACATTATAGGGCCTTGATGTACATCATTTTGTTTTACGATCTGATTCAAGATGGCCGAATGGCGGCTATTTTTGTGCTAAAAAATCCTAATAATCAAGCTTTTCTCGGCTGTTTACAGATGGATTTTGTTCAAACTTGGTATATACATTTGAGATTATAGGACCTTGATGCAAATAACTTGTTTTTCAGATAAGATTCTGGTGGCCATTTTGTTTTAATGAATGTGGTTCTTGTGCCATATCTCTGACTTGCTTTCACTGATTATGTTCAAATTTTGAATATTTATTGTACATCATGTCATAGATAGACAGATATATTGGTTTGACGATCCTATTCAAAATGGCAAATGGTGGCCATTTTTGTGCTAAAAAATCATCAAATATCAAGCATTTCTGGCATTTATGGATAGATTCTGTTAAAACTTGGTACATATATTAGACATTACAGGTTCTTGATGCACATCATTTATTTTTCAGATCGGATTCAAAATGGCTGTCTGGCGGCCATTTTGTTTTAATGAATGGGCTTCTAGACCCATATCTTCGACTTGTTTTGACTGATTATGTTCAAATTTTAAATATTCATCATACATCATGTCATAGATAAACAGATATATTGGTTTGACGATCCTATTCAAAATGGCCAAATGATGGTGATTTTTGTGCTAAAAAATCATCAAATATCAAGCTTTTCTGGCATTTATAAATGGATTTCGTTCAAACTTGGTACATACATTAGACATTATGGGTTCCTGATGCACGTCATTTTATTTTTCAGATTGGATTGGGCTTCTAGAGCCATATTTCTTAAATGCTTTGACTGATTATATATTCAAATTTTATATATTCGTTATACATCATGTTATATATATACATGTATTCAAAATGGCTGATTTTGAATGCTGTTCTAGAGAAATATCTCTCAATATGGACCAGTACTTGTTTGACGATCATATACAAATATCAATCATTTTAATGTTAAAAACATCATATTCCTGACATGGCTATATTACTATAAATAAAACTATATATCTTAAATTTGATAACTAATGGGGACTGTGCCATGCATGGCTTGTTTGACTTCTTCTTGAAAAATACAAGCATGAATGCTTTGATACTTGGTGTATATGTACCTTGGATAGACCTCTCTTAGGTTTGTTCATTTCATGATGATATCTTCAATTCTCTAATTTTGGTGAATATTTTTGTCAATTTTGGTAAAAAATTATATTTTCGACTTCTTGTTAAAAACCGCAAGTCCAATTGCTTTGATAATACATATATAGGTACTTCATGTGGGCCTCTCTCAGATTTGTTCATTTTGTAATGATATCTTTAATTCTCTAATTTTGATGAATATCTTTGTAATTTTGGGTAAAAAGTGATATATTCGACTTCTTCTTAAGAACCGCAAGTCCAATTGCTTTGATATTACATAGGTACTACATGTGGTCCTGTCTCAGATTTGTTAATTTCGTGGTGATATCTTCAATTATCTAATTTTGATGATTATTTTTGTCATTTTCGGTGAAAAGTGATATTTTTGACTTCTTGTTGAAAACAGCAAGTCCCATTGCTTTGATACTATACATATTGTTCATTTTCTAATGATATCTTCTGTTCTTTAATTGAAATGTGCATTGCTAACTGCGGAGCTATCTCAGTCGACAGAATGCTTATTTCAAGTTTAAAGGTTGTAGCTAATGTGAATTGGCACATTTTAAATGTCACAAAATTGTTTTGATTGAAATTTTATACACTTGTAATGATCATAAGCATCATGATTAGAAGTATTAACTGTTCTTTGTATCATATAGGGAACAAACTTCTGTCCAGGGCAAGAAATTGATGGTGTGACTACTCACAATCAGACCGACTACACTGCAGAGCCACTGTTATTTCATATTGGTAGAGATCCTGGTGAAAAATATAAAATAAAGCAAGTAAATTTTATTTATTTTGTGACTAAATGACTTTTACATAGCTGGAGTTCAGGAATTGAATCATCAAAACCTTCTTAACCAGTTTGACTTTTCCAGTTTGACTTCAGACTTCTATGTTAAACGTCAGATTGGGCTATGGTAATTCATGGTACATGGACTTGCTTCGGTGGCGAAATCTCAAGCAGCAACATCCGTAGAGATATTCTGATCCACTTTAAATACCGACTATAACACCATAGTCAATTTTGTCATTCATTGATTGGTCAATAACCCTTCATTCATCACCCTGATACTCATCCAGAGCACATAACACATCCCACTTTAAGATACCTCTTTGTGTCGTGTCAAAACATTTTTTTCTATGCTATAGACAAGAGCCATTGCTCGAAACGTCTA